TAGCACCTTGGCTGACACATCGGCGTCACCTTGCCACGTGTTGGTACTCAGAAAATATATCTCCACAAAATGAATACGTATAATTTTAAAATTCAATCAAAATTATTTATAGTGATTTGATTCACGATAAAGAATTATAAATATTATATATATCAGTATAGAAGCAGACATAAAAAATAAGAAAGAGTAATTATTTTTTATTCTTTAATTATCATCAATGTGAAAAATAAGAAGACAATTTTTTTTTTTGTTTTTGTTTTTTGTTGATAAGAAGGGAGAAGATTTGTTTATATTTATATAGTACTCTTGAAAACAGATATATCATTTTTGAGTGTTCAACTCCAAAAGTAAAGAAATAGTTGGTTTATATAGCACTCTTTATGACTTTTAAAAAATATAATAAATTTGAGAGGATAAAATTAAAATTTAAAAAAAGTAAAAAATATGATAAATTTTTCACACTTTTATAATAATAATAGATATTTTCATATAAAATGAATAATTTTTATTTTTATTTTTTTTTGTTGTCGGTGGCACAGGCCCACTCGATTTGTAGGTTTTAAATCAATCTAAGGCCATAACAACATGTTGTCTTGCTGATGATGAGAACAAAAATGAGTCCCCAGGATGATTATCAATCCAGTAAAATCCAACTTCTCATCATTAGCTCAGCAGATACATGCTATTATATAAGTCCACATTCAGGCTCTTGGAATTATTCGGTTTTTGGACCCATCTCAACGAATTTTATTATGGGGAAATAATGTTATGCACCTAATAAAATTATTCTAAAAATAAATATGTAGTGTAAATTTAAATTTATTATGTAGATTACACTCACAATAAAATTAACTTTTACTGTTATTGTTTATTATAGATTGCTTAAGTAGGGTTTGATAGTGCTTAGTTTTTTACATTTTAGGGAAAAATAGTTAAAAGTTATTCATGTTTTGACAAATGTCAACAAATTTAGGTTTTTATTATTATTTATGTTTTGACAAATGTCAAAAACAATTTACTTTTTTTTTTTAGTTGAGAAGTTGTGTGAGAAAGTTGCTACCCATCTTGGGTTAGCTAAATAGGTCAATGTTAAAGGCACAAATTATTTTTGATTGAAAGAAGTTAAAAAGTAACTATTTTTATCAAAATCAAATCTGTTGAGTACATTTTTGCTAGTAATCTATTTTTTTAATTTACAAAGTAGAAGCATGCTTATTATATATGCTTTCAAAATAAATTACTGTATAACAAAAAGCATATATATATTGAATTACTAGAAAAGAAGCGTAGTCTCATTTATGTCCTTTATATTTTTTTGATTTACGAAATTATTCATATTAACAAGTGATTTTATAAATCAATAAGATTTAGAGGATACCTATAGAGATTAATAATTTGAATTCTTTTTAACAAGGTAAACTATTACATAACTTCTCCTTTTTTCTCTAAAGTTTTTTGAAATAATAATACAAAATTAAAAAGAATAAAAATGACACTTACCAAACAGCCACTAGTCAACTGCTATCAATTTGGAATTCAACTTTGCAATTGCTGATGAATTGAATTAAAAAGTCAAATATTCATACCAAGTAGGCATATCCAAAAGTAGCCAGATGGAAAATTGTGTAGTACCTAACATAAATGTTCTTCACCTAGCCACATTTATTACAAAAGCAATAAATACATGACCAAACACTTGGAAGTGTTCTTCACCATAAAAAATAAAAAATAAAAAATCATTGGAAGCCCAATGCTTTGAAGTTTCTTCAATTTTATTGTTTGTCTAGTACAATGAAAGAATTTTTGCAGAGTAATCATGGGTCCAAGAATTGGAACCCATTAATGAAAAATGAATAATAGTAACAAACAACAAGACAAGATTGAAGAGAGAGAAGATGAATTTGATCAGAAGAAAACAAGGAAAGAAGAAGAGTCTTGTTGAGCAGTAATAGTGTTACTCCTCCTCAGAAACTGAACATTCATTCTCATACGTCTTGATAGCAAAAGTCGCTCTCTCAACCTTGCTATCACCACCCTGTACTCCTCCAACAGCTCCACCACCATCCCCACCTTTATCATCTTCTTCTCTCTCTCTCTCTCTCTAAAACTCTTTAAGGGGATGAGGTTGGTCCAGAGAACTTGAATGTGTCTTCTTGTGTAGAGAGAAGTGAATTTGTGGGGTGGACTCGATACATGAAGCAAGATATAAAATGCTATATATGTGTGTTGTGTGTGTTGAAAATAATAATGGGATTGAGGTGCCTAATTTTATTGGCTGGTACTTTGAAGTTTCTGAACTTTGATTTGATTATTATAATAATATAATATAATGAAATTGTGGTTTGCATTGTGCGTTGTAATTAGTCCCATGGGAGCTTGCGCGTAATTTGAATGGAGCACGTTTAACTTTTTTACTTTTCTACTTTTAGCTTCTTCTTTTTTTTTTTCTTTTTTTTTTAAACTTACTTTTAACTCCTAACGTGTGAATCACGATAATTACTCTAACATTATTACTCACAAATAATCCAAATTTATTAGATAAATGTATTCTACAATACATTGATTCAATCTTAATGGTACAATCACATTTTCAACCAAAAAAAATTATGAATTTATTTTCTAAGTAACTAGATTTATTGAGAATTACTATTCAATAGTCTACTGTAACATTGTTTACTTGGTATTTATAATCAATGAGATAATACTTACTCATTCTTATTATGTAATTGAAAGATAAGATCATCCATTCAATGTATTTTGTAAACTTTTATTTATTAAAAGTATCACGTAAATAGTATTACATATTATTTTAGAATCACCTAATAATTTTAGAGAAATATTGTATATCATTACTTTATATTACTCTTACATGAATACTTATAATTGATTTTCTTGTTTAGAGTTAATTATTAAGTAATTGATAAAAGGAATCCAGTGATATAAAAAAAGTAGGGATGGACAACGGTTTATCCGATCCACTAAAACCGTCCAACCCATCCAACCCGCATACAAATGGACTGTTTCGCAAATACAATGCGGGCAGATGCGGTTTGAAATATGGCATATTTGAGGGTTGCGGGTGGGTTACAGGTTTTGAAATATGGCATATTTGAGGGTTGCGGGCGGGTTGCAGGTTTAACCTGCACCCGCAAGAAATCGCTGGCACTTTTATTTATTATTTATTATTTTTTTTTATCTTAACCGTTGATTTCATTCCTATATCCTACCTAGATATTTTTTCCCAAAACAAAATACCATTTATTCTTTAAACTTACTCTAACATTACATTTGTTAATAGTATTATATCAACTGAAACTGAATAAATACTGATCATATTATTATTGTTACATAATTGAACTTGTCTCGGATGAAGTGTGATTTGAAATTTTAAATTCCTTAATGAATATGCAATTATAGTTTAGAACTTTGAAATATGTACTTGTGTTAGTTTATGATTTGATTTAAGATTTTGAATGATTTGTTTCTGTTATGAATTGATTTTGTTGTGTTTTTAATTTCATAAGTTTTAATTCATTAATTATTGATGTTAGAGAATTTTAGAAAATGGGGAGAAAATCAAAAATAATTTTTTAAAGAAAAAAGTTGAATCCGCAAACCGCCCGCAACTGTCCGCACATCTGCAAACTCTATCTGCACAAATTGCAAAGGGCGGTTACAAGTTGTCTTTTTCCCAAACCGCATAGATACGGACGGGTCCAAACCGATCAGCAAATCGTCCAAATCCAAACAACGAACACTCCTATAAAAAAGTAAAAAAAGACAGAAAAAAAATGATATATAGATGTGAATTTGCAATCACTTTCTTGTAATTGTTCACCTTTTAACATGGATGAAGCTAAGCCTCCAAAGTTTCCGTGGGCCGACCTCATCCAACCCAACAACCATTTGGGACCCCCTCTCACTATTTTCTGCGTCTATCCTAACCATCTGACTTTTCTTTTGTCTTTTGTCTTTTGTCTTTTTTCTTCTCTGTTTTTTTTTTTTTTTTTTTTTTTTTTTTTTTTTTTTTTTTTTTTTTGAATTACTACGATTGTTATGGAATTAGTGATTCCAGGAGAAAAAAAAAATTTAAAAAGTCTAGAAAATTACATACAAAATGACTCAAAAAACACTATCATTATATGTCACTTGACTTGCTGAAGGAGCGGATATAAGTTGGTAACAATAGATTTGTTATGACATATGATAACAACAGTATTTTTAAGTCATTTTTTAAATAACTTTTGGGGTTAGTAGACTAAATTGTTATATCATATTAAAGAACCAGTATTATTTTATTTTTTTTTTGTGTTTTTTTTTTCTAAATGTGTTTATGACATATGATAACAACAGTATTTTTAAGTCATTTTTTAAATAACTTTTGGGGTTAGTAGACTAAATTGTTATATCATATTAAAGAACCAGTATTATTTTATTTTATTTTTTGTGTTTTTTTTTTTCTAAATGTGTTTTTTTTTTTCTCCCTTTGTAAAGAGAATAATGTATTCATAAATAACCTAAGTTCAACAAAAGAAGGGACAATGGTCAATGTTCGAGTCTTGCTATATGTGGATCCAGCCCTTAGTATATTTAAGTTTCTTATCTTGAATATAACAAGATTAAAATTCTAAAATATCACATTTAATATTTATTTCTCATCTTATATTTTTTTAACTGTTATCAACCATCAATACTCTGCTCCTCCATGTAGCCTTCCCCAATGATCATACAAATAAATATTTGAAAATAATCCAAAAAAAAAAAATACTAATAAAAAATATTTTTTAACATTTACTAAACAAATTAACTTTTCTAAGTTTTTTTTATTAAATTTTTTTTAAAAAGTCCCCCCCCCCCCCCCCCCCCCCCCCAAAAAAAAAAATAATAATAATAATAATAGTAATAGAAACATATTTTTGAAATTACACCTGACATGGTCTTTTATAGACAAATGGATCAAGTGATGGGATGGATATGTTCAACGTCTAATATACCATCACTAGCAAGTAACAATTTGCGCACACTCATGCTGACCATTGCTTCAAAATTGAAGGGGATGACAAAAAGCTTGCTAAACAAGTCAAAAATTTTGGCTTAAAGTAAAGACCCAATTTACACACCACAACACAAACACATTGAAGGATCAAATTTACATTCATTTTTAGTTCTTTGTTTGGTTCATTAGATTAACTTTAAAATGAATTGGATCTGATGAAGACCCTCTTCCATGCTTTCAAGGTGAGAGACCGAGCCTTTTCCAGAGTAAAAGAACGCTGCAGGGAGCGTCGAAGAGCAAGAGAGGGTGGTGATGGTGGCGTTGGTGGTTGTGATTCTTCCATTTCTATGTCTACAACATTATTGTCTTCTGGGTTCCAAAAACAAGCTCCTTTTCTCTTCTTCCTCATGGTTGTTAGCACATCGTGCTTGTTGCATATTCCCCACACTGTCACTTTCTGTTGATTGAAATCCACATTTACAGAGTATATACCTGCATGATTAATACAACACATACGGTTCATTTGAAAATGAAATAATCAAATATCCAAACAAAGCCTTGTTAAACTATTTGTAGGGTAATAGAACCAAAATGAGATGACGATATCAAACTTCTCACTTCAAATATCATGTCCATAAATTATGACGATTTCACTAATGCATAGTCAAATGAGAATATAACATTTCCAATTTGCTAAAATAAGTCATGATGATATGACAAATGGCTACAAACTATTCATAAAAATAGGTTCTTCTAAAATAAAGAATTGTGATATGACAAATGGCTACAAACTATTCATAAAAATAGGTTCTTCTAAAATAAAGAATTGATTCATAGAGTAATGAAGTTCTCCAAATGAATAGAAACTACATGCTTCAACACATTTCGATCCCCAATTCTTTACTTTGACTTAACGTTGTTGATAAGTTCAACCAGATTTTGATTGATTTTTTTTTACCTCTGAGATGTGATAAAGCCCTCTTGACTTTCTTCTCACACCCATAAGAATAGAGAGGCACCCTCATTTCCACATATTGTGCCTCTACAGTCTTGGTTGAAAGAACAATTTGCAAGTTTGCCATGCCAATCTCAAAAATAGTAGATCATTACCCAACTCTCTCTTGATTCTGTTCTTGTTGTTTTGGCAGTTGATATTATTATTGCCTTTGAAAACTTGAAGGTGGTTTGCTATATATATACGACTCTAAAAAAGCAGCCATGACATGTTTTGCTAATCCTCATGGAAAAAAGCAGAAGACACACACAAGTACTAGATTCCCTGGAAAAGAAGGGATATGCATGACCACTTTAAGTCTCTCTTTTCCAATTCCCAAAATTTCTTAATGCGGCTGTTTTGCCTTTTTTATATTTGGTTCATTGAAATGAGATTGAAATAGAATTGTTTTTGTTTTGCATTGGGTAAAATAAAAAGAATGCACATAAAAAAATCAAATATTATCATTCACCAATTTAGAAAAAAACTAAATCATTCCATTGAAAGATCAAAGAATGGACATATTCCATTTTTTCTGATTATAAAGAAATAAAGAAAAGGAGAGAATATGTTTGATTACAAAAATCAAACTCGAAATAAAAAAAAAATAAATAAAATAAAACAGATTTTATTTTGTTACAAAAACAAAATTAAAATCTGAATAAATAAACAAATAAAAACAACACTGAAAGTAATTAAATAACTTACTTGATTTAATTTCTTCGAATTATTTTTCTGATCAAGTCCAGTGTTTAACACTGTCTCCTTAAGACAGATTCGTCCTCTCCACGGTGCTTTCAGAATTCGGACGTCTATCTCCCAGGATGAAATGATCTTCCACAAACAATAGCAGCACTACTAATTGTTTGCCTTACGAACACACTAAGTGTTTACACTTTGGTTTTGAATTGAACAGGTATGTGGCTTTTGGTTTTGAATTGAACAGGTATGTGGCTTTTGGTTTTGAATTGAACAGGTATGTGGCTTTTGGTTTTGAATTGAACAGGTATGTGGCTTTTGGTTTTGAATTGAACAGGTATGTGGCTTTTGGTTTTGAATTGAACAGGTATGTGGCTTTTGGTTTTGAATTGAACAGGTATGTAGCTCTTGGTTTTGAATTGAACAGGTATCATACCTGTTGGGTTTTGAATTCAAACAGATAGTAAAACGGGAAGGGCCCTGTTTGGGTGTGAAACAAATAATCCAAACCAATTTAATTTGAATTATGGATTTTATTTTAATAAAAAATAAAATTAAATTCAAATGTTTTTGGCCCAAAAAGATTAGAAGCCCAACCGGCGGTGGCGCGCGCGTGTGGTGATTTTTGGGTCCAATGGGTCTAGCCCATTTTGCCCATAACCTCTCCCTCTAAAACACTTGGGTACCCCTTGGGGCACACCCCAAGTATCTCACCCTAAGCCTTATAAACCCTTTCAAAACCTCCCACCAAATCAATGTGGGACAAGCCAATTTACAACCTTAAGGAATTTCCACCAAAACTCCATTTCCATGGAGCACACTTTGGCTTCAATTTCCCATTCACTCGGTAATGGTTTTGAGCAACCAAATATACCACGTGAATCACAACGCGGCATAGAACGCGTTACCACTTTGACCCGAGTACATCGACACTCGGGGCCCACCTAAAAAATAGACCGAACTTAGGAAAAATTCTGATTTTATCCAGAATTTTATAACCATTCCAACAAAATCATTCTAACAAACCAAACAATACATTACTGTTAATGGGTGGCTAAAGCTATCTAGAGTTTCTGCTGTAAATGTACTTTATGAGTTTACATTACTGTTAATGGGTGGCTAAAGCTATCTAGAGTTTCTGCTGTAAATGTACTTTATGAGTTGAGAACTTGTTGTTTTTAAGAAGGGATATATGGATCATGACTCAGACAACTGTGAAGATGTGTCATTGGATCATCTCTGTTGGTCAATTGAAAAGTGTTTTTTGTATTTCTTTTTCAAGGAATTTGGGCAGTCTCTTCTAGTTTGGCTCCCACGTGGGTTGTGTTTTTGCTTAGCAAAGAAGTACTAACTTTTGAGAAGTTGGGAACAAAAATGAATCGAGTACCATATTTATAAAAGTTGGGCTTATCCAGTAAGTCCAGAGTGTGAAGTTTTCCGATTTATTAGTTTGATAGAAATTATCTTCTTCTTTTTTTTTCTTTTTCTTTTTTTGTGAAGAATAGTCAGTGTGCCTAACTAATAATATTTTGTAATTTTTCATATTACTTTTATATTTTGGGACCATGTAATTACATACACTCTTGCTACTGGGCGGGCATATTCCTATTTATTGATCCAACAAGTTCATCTTATGAGTCCCTGTGTATTGAGCATTTATTAAAAAATTCAAATTGATTTGATAATTGTAACAACAATAGGTTGTTTATTTTTTTTAAAGATAAATTTAACGAAATCATGTGGTCACAATTATCAAATCAATTTAATTTTTTAGAATAATCTATCATAAAAAATAAGTGAATTGAGTTATCGAAATAAAACTTGTGATGAGTCTACGAACCCAAATTGTACTGTACAAAAAAACCTCTCCCTATTTATATAAGTTAAAAAGCATTTTTTTTATCAGAGGAAATTATTTTTCTGGGTCAGAAATCCTATTAATCCAGAAAAATTATCTCACATTTTTACGCATAATGTGTTTGTGTGGTGAAAAGCTAATCAAATTATATTTTTAGTTAAAATCATAGTAAAATTTTTAGATTTATGGTATTACTGTATGACAAGAAGATGATAAGGCTAATCAAATGAAAGGTAGTTCTTTTATATTTGACCTAAAAAACAAGATGGCTCTACTCTTGTTCACTTTAACCCTTTTGAAGGAAGATTGAATTCGGCTGGGTTCTTGTATTCTTCATCTTACTTATCCAACAAGACTTTTTCTATTAATTTATTCATTAAAAAAAAGAAAAGAAAAAAAAAAGTCTCTGATTGTTTTGGGTGTGCGCATGGTGTTCGGATCCTCTAGAGTGATCTTGTGAAGTGATCATCTAGAGTGATCCCTTATGGTGGGACACGTGTCTCATTAATGGAACCAATGGCTAAGATAATTCATCGCCAAAACGACGTCGTTTTGGTGAGCCAGACCCAAAAAAAAAATAAAAAAAATTACAGAGTTTGCAGATCAAGAGGGAGGAGGAAGAAGAAGAAAATGGATTTGAGAGAAACTGGAAGAAAACGGATTTGAGGAAGAAGAAAACTCTGGGTTTGAGAGAAATTGGGTGGATTTGCAGCGAAAATGAGTTTGAGAGATGAAGAAGAAAATAAAAGTTTATCCATGGCGATGAACTTCTTGAGAGACCAAACCCATTAACCCAACACAGCAAAAAAACTTTTCTTCTTACATTTTCGTCTTCCTCAAATCCATTTAATGGTTCGATTTGCAGAGATAATGGGTTTGAGAGATGAAGAAGAAAATGGAAGTTCATCCATGGCGATGAACTTCTTGAGAGACCAAACCCATTAACCCAACACAGCAAAAAAACTTTTCTTCTTCCTCAAATCCATTTTCTTCTAATTTCTCTCAAATTCATTTTCTTCTTCCAATTTTCTTCCATTTTCTTCTTCCTCCTCCTCTCAAAAAATCCATTTTCTTCTTCTTCTCCCAAGTTCATCCATGGCGATGAACTTCTTCAGCGACCAAACCCATTAACCCAACACAACAAAAAAACTTTTCTTCCAATTTCTCTCAAATCCATTTTCTTCTTTCAGTTTTCTTACATTTTCTTCTTCCTCCTCCTCCTCTCAAATCCATTTTCTTCTTCTTCTCCCTCCCTCTCGATTTCTGCAAACTCTATAATTTTTTTTTTTTTTTTTTTGGATCTCGCTCACCAAAACGATATCGTTTTGACGGAATTATCTCAACCATTAATTTCATTAATAGGACAGGTGTTGTATCATAAAAAATCACTATAAAGGATCACTTCACAGGATCACCCTAAAAGATTCGGAGGCGTTTGGACAAGCAACAAAAATAGAGAGAGAGAGTGGTCTACTGCTGAGTCACCACTACCGCCACGTTAGGAGGACATTAAATGGGTCCCACTCAGAGTACTTTATCCCTTTATCCACCACGCCGTTCGGCTTTACACTCGGATGATGACTCGGAATCTCTCTCATATTTTGGTGATGAGAAGTGGGGAAATTACAAATTGATGAGACAATAATGAAATAATTGTATTATAAAGAAGATTATTTACATTATGTACACAGAAGAATTATCATACTATTATAAAAATGTGTGTTTTTTTTTTTTAATCACTGTTGCAATTTTCTAAATGAGTAGGAGTTGGACCCACCCATGTGAAAGCCTCTTCCCACCTGACTTCAAAGGGGAATCTCGCTACATGCATTGCATCAGCACTGCCTCCGCGGCCCATGTGTTGTCCACAAAACCCTAGACCAAATGGACCTCACAATAACCAAAGAATTATGGAGCGTTTTAAAAAGGTGGTTAAAATTTATTTTTTAATTTTTTTGTGAAGTAGATTAAAAGTTGAAAAATAACTTTTAATTCAATTTTTAAAATAGCCTGTTATATGAATTAAGTGCTAGTTGCACATTACTTTTCATTTTTTATCAGTAAAATTTAAAAATATATATCATTGTATAGCATTTCTTTGTAATTTAAGGTTACCGGTTCAATTATTATTGAAGAGTTTGAATTCTAAAAGTGTTTTTTTTCTTCCCATTATGAAAGTGGTAGATAATTAGTTTGTTGGGTTTGAGGTTTGGTGATGGTTAATTTTCTAATTATTATTGAAATAGTAGTCTATTTGATATAAAATTTCTTATATTTATAATTACTTTTCTACTGTTAATAAAAAAAAAAAGAGAGAAGAAGACATTAGTCTTTATTTTATTTAATTATTTTTTTTATTTATCTATGTACACTTTAATATTATTATTTTATTTTATCTATCTATTTACATTAACTATTTAAACAACCTACCAAAACTCTCCAAATACATGCATGCATGTAGGGATGGCAATGGGGTGGATATTAATTCCCCATCTCCATTCCCCTATAATAAATTTTCCCCATTACCCATTCCTCATTCCCCATGGGTACCACCCTCCCCATTTCTTAATGGGTATGGATTTTTCCCCACCCACTTTAATCCCTATTTTTATTTTTTATATTTAATGTTAACAAC